GGAAACCGGTAGGCGGGGACGGAAACAGACCGTACACACAACTTGTTCGATGAGCCACATAACTGTGGTGTTACATGCTGCACCGAGCTTGGAAGCAGAAAGACGGTGAGGCGACACCGAAAATTTAGCCAATCTTTGTAAAGCAAAACGCAATTCAATATCAGCTCTTCAACGCTGTCAGACGACTAGCATCCACTCCCCGGCATGCTAAATTGAGATAAAATACGGAGTGCTCATTAGCTCCGGCTAGAATAAGCGCCGCTCTAATTAAAACCAGAGCTCACCTGAGGGAAGGTCCAAGCCGGTCCGCCTTTTGTCCATGCCCTTCTCAAAGCGCGCGCGGTGAAATCAAATGTCGCGCCAAATCGAACCGTGCGCTCAGGTGACACGCGCGCAGTGAAATGGCCCGGCGCAGCCGGCTACCACTCGGGTCACATTGTAGATGGCGCTGGGCTCGCGCTCGCCCGCGAGAAAGGTCATTTGTGCTCATGCGCGCAAAAATGCTGCATTTCAGTGTAACTTCAAAGCTTGACTCAGTCTTTGAAAGGAACGATTTCATTCAAATCGTTAGAGATCTATCTGAGTGCATCCCGGAGACGGCGGTTTCCTTAGTCGTTTCCCTCACCACATTTGGCTGTTCCGGCCGTCCTGCGTGTAATATCCGTTCTGTGATATGGACGGTCAAAATGAAAGCATTTGAGGTCTGCAGCCGCCGACTACGTTATAATGTTTTTGTTCCTTTCTTTCTTTTCGTTTCCTTTACCGTGCCCTATCCTTCCCTGCCCTGCTCTTTGGTTTCGGTCTGGCTCTTTGTTTGCGCGCTCTAGTTTAGTTTCTGTCTGTGACCTCAGGCTAGGTCACGTGGTGTCTGTGCCCGGGAGCGATGGGCCGGGTCAGTGCGGTGAGGGAGAGCGGCGGCGGCCAGGGACCAGTCTGGTCTGACTTGAGTGGCGAGCGGGAGGGCTAAGGCCCGTAGCGAGTGTGAGCGCACAACGAACGGGAGAGTGCACGGGAGAACGCGCTCGATAAGTGACGAGAGAGGTGACGAACGGGAGAGCGTTGAGCCGCTTCACCGAGTGCAGCTGGAGTTCCAGTATATCATTCGAGGGCGCAATTGCCGGTAAGAATCTATCTGTACTGATTAGTTTTTGATTGATATTGATGTTCGATGTTTCAATGTTAGAAAGTTTGAGCCAGACCGATAGATTTAGCTATTTATTTACGTAAAATTCAGAAACGATGTTTTAGGGATGTTCGTTGTCGTTTTCAGTGTCATGGCGTTGAACGATGTTGTTCTTTCGCAGCAACGGCAAGTATTGTCACGCAAAGGCGTGTGTTGGCGAGTACCTATATCGAGTGTTGGCGTTGTGCAATACAGCCAGTCGTGCAGGGTTGTATACCAATCAAGTCGATTGAATTGATTGATTTGTTTCAACGCATATTTTGAGTTGATTGGATTGAGTCGATTGACTTTTCGAGATGACTGGTTGACTGACTCGTTTGACTTTAGCGACTGGTTGACTGATTTGATTCCCGAAAATTAGAGTGACTCGTATGATTGAGTCGATTGAATGGAAAGTTCAAATAAGTTTTAGTTGATGAAAAATAATGACACCAACTGATGACATCAAAGATCACAAAACTACACTGAAAACTGCTTGTCAATTGTCATCACAACTGCAATATGGGGTAGATGGCCAAATAAAGAACAGGGCCTAAACATGAACAGCCAACTTTGACTTTCAACTGCAATAACTCATAACTGCTCCAATCCTGGTGATAGAACCTGGCGATGCACCTACCTACCTTTCTGCACTCAGCAGGAAACGTTTTTTTTTTTTAATCCAGATGAGAAAGTGCAAGGCCCTATATACTAATAAAGTGTGATTAATTAATAATTCACATCTCCACATCTCCTCAGAAACAACCCACTGAACTCTATAAATATCTGAAACCCCTAAAAAAATAACTGAAACAAAAGCGCCGTTTTCGTCTCGCTAATTACGTTTACGTATGCCAATTAATAGCTAATTTGCTGCATTGTTTAAATTGCAGCAGAACGTTTGTTGATCCTTTTCTCCTGAGAGCCTAAGCATAACATATGAAATATATTTCATTTTTCTTAAAATATTTTACCGAATATTATTAAGTGGTCTTATTTCAAATGAAATAATAATTAAAACGAAATTGGTGTTGTACAACCGATTTATTTTATGATGATCTACCATAGTACATGATAATCAATGACGTCATCTTACAAAAAAATCAAAACACGTAGAAAAAGGATTTATAAAAGCTTAGCATACTTATTGGCAAAACGTTTTCTTTTATTCACAGTCGCACCGTGCCGTTTTCGCGTTTTAATTTTCTTTGTTCTACTTTCTTTGTCCTTATCTTATCCTGTGGTTCCAGAGTCCCTGTCCTCTCCATTTCCTTTTAAATATATTTTTAATCCTCATCCTTATCCCCCAGTCCTAACAGTTTCAAACTGTATTGCAATTAAATGTTTTGAATTCTTCACATAGGTACCTAACATTGACATGCCACGTCCAGAGTCGTGGACCGCTAAATACTTCAAATCTCTTCCTTCCCAATCTGACAACATCCCACGCCTCAAATGCATATTGTGTGGAAAGATTTTTCAGGCTGCCCGTCAATCTCTGTCTAACTGAAACCGTCACATGCAGGTAAGATATTTATTTCTATTTCCCTATTGTTAATATGTTATTGATGCATATTATCCATTAAAATAGACGTGGTGTAGGGTAAATTGTCCAAATCACGAACACTGCCAAAATCCGAGCAGCCAACTTTCAACCGGAATATCTGATATTTAGTGTAAATGGAGTTGGAATATGGCCAAAATTAAATTGACAACCTTTAGGTGAAAGGTGGTGATTTGGGTTAAGGGGCGAGTCAACTACTGGGTTATTTTGCACCCATTAAATGAAACTTCTGCTCCAATTCTACCCATTGAACCTCAATATCATGATCCACCTGTCCATCACTAGGTATCCATCCTTATTACATAGAAACTTTGAATGGCATGGCAATTTATAATTTTAAATGACAATATTTTTATGTTTCTTCTGTGGGTAGGTAGGAAGGTAGGTAGGTAGGTACATACACCAGAGTGCTATGGACACTTTTCCAAGTTGGTGGGGCAAAAAACCTAATGTATGTGTTGGTTTGAGTCGTTTGATTGAGTTGATTGATTCCTTTCATTGTCGCGTTTGAGTCGATTCAATCAATTCCCGAAAACTGCTCTGACTTGATTGATTTGATTGGTTTCCCAAATTTGTCGTGATTGAATTGATTGCTATTGATTGAGCCGTATACAACCCTGCAGTCGTGGAGCACGTCCTTTTTTGGTGGAGCACCGGGGAGCGGCTACAAGGTCCTAATTGGCGAGTTTTCGTGCCTTTCTTGAGTCTCATGTGGCTACGATTTGGGTCGCGTTGCGATAGCTGTTTTGCATGTAGCTCAGTTGTCGCAGCCATGAAACATTGTTTAGTATTATCGTATATTGCAGTGAGAAAACTTAAAAACGGGGTGGGGAGTTTTTGCAGTGTATGATGAGTGTCAGACACTTTTAACCCTCGCCGGACCTATTGGTTTTCTACATACGCGCCGGCCGAGGGGGGGTGGGTGGGTACGACCCCCCCCCCCTCACCGTTTCGCCCCTGGTGGAGCTAGCGCGTCGCGGAAAAAACGAGCGTGTGCGCCGTTACGAGACGCAGAGATTGGTACCCGATTTTAAGGTCCTAGGTCAACCAGTGACCTCTGAGGTCAGGTCAAGTGCCCCAAGGTACGGTTCAGTTTTTGGTGAATACCTTCGCATAAAACGGCCGCAGAGCGCCGATTTTGGCAGCATCATGTTCGCCTCGCTCAGGCGCGTCGAATGATATACTTTTGGTCCGGGTCAGGTCAACTTGGGGTGTTGACCTCAGGTCAAGGTCAGGTCAGCACCCCCAGGTCACGAAGTTGGTCGAAAGAGGTCATGTCGCATATCATTCGATTCGGCAGGTTTTCCTGAGTCCATTGGTGGCTTTCCCGACTCGCTAGCTCAATTTGATCAAGAGTTATTGACGAAAAACTAATATGACCTTGATGACGTCATAAATGACGTCACGCAAGGTCAACATTGCAAAAGTGACGCATCTAACCTTGCAAGGAGTGCATCGAATCACGATTCTGTGTGCTTGAGATAGTTGGAGATCGTTCCCGGCGCCAGAATAGCAGTTTGAATTTTTCCCCATTAACTTATAATGGTGAGGTCACGAAAATGACCTGACCTCATATGATCTTGAGGAAAAATCCGAGATATACAAGTTGTGAGACTCATAATGGATACTAGATCCTGCAAGTTTCATTTCCCTGTAACATCTCCTCTGGCAGTGAGGGCGTTGCGAAGTTGCGACATCTGAAGACCGTGCAGAGGTTCACTTATGACGTCATAGGTCAGTGACCTGACCTGACCCAAAAATGCGGTTGGTGTCAAAAGATCCGGCTTGAATCAAAGGTCAGGTATGCCAAGTTTCAGCTCTCTATCGCCAGCGTGTTCGGAGCTATCGCGAAAAAAAACCTATGGGGGGCGGCACCCGCCCCCCCCCCCTCGGCGGGCGAGAGATGTGTACTGTGACACTTATTACAGTGTCATGAAGCCTGTCATACACGGTTAAAGGTGTCAAACGCTCCCTGAACACCCATTATTGGGTATATAAAAACTCCGGTATGCAGAATAACCACTTACCCAGTTAACGGTGTTCAAAATGTTTTCAGTGTGTCTGCCCGGGAGACACTGGTGCGGGGCCGAGGCGCCGTCCGTCCGGGCTGACATGTTTTCAGCCCCTCCGCTGCAGATAGCGGCCCAGGATGTGGTCCCCGCGCAGCGACCGACTCGTGCGTCAGTGTCCTCGTGTTGCGGAGTTGCGCCTAGGGGCGATTTTGCCGCCTAACGCGCTGTGCCATCGCCTCTACTGTCCGCGGGTCCGGAACTGGAGGAGATAGTGGGACTGGCGTCGGCGACGAGCGCTTCCAGTGGTCACGGTGCTCGGGTGAGGACGTCTCCTCAGACCGCCGTCTCTGGGCCGAGGTGACGGCTGAACGAGGAGGGCCGTCCACTACCTTTCAGACGAGGGTACCCTAGAAGCTTCGTCTTCAACGTCCTGCCACGAGTGAGTAGAATCGATGGCCAAATGTGGCTCTGGCTTGTGTTGTGCTGTTGCTGTTTCGAAGTTCAGGTCAAGAAAATTTTCGAAATGACGTCGTCATGCCTTGTCTCTTTTGGTCTTCTTTTTGCACTCACACTTTAGCGAACAATGCTATTTATTCCTGACTCCATTCCAACAAATGCCGTAGCATGCTCCGAACCCTCCACAACCAATAAGGCACCAGACATTCACTCTCCTTCCTTCAGATTCAGATCCAAAATCCCTCACAAACTCCGCCGGTTTCCGAGCACTCCAAGTCGGCGCTTCTCCACTCGCGCCTCTGATTGACGAGGTGAACCACTCTACATGACGTCAACTGTACCAAGTCACCCCGACCCGTCCGGCCCTGCTTTCACTGGGGCCGACCGCGCCGGCCCGCCCGCCAACAAAAAGACGTCAGTCGGCCCCTCGTCCCGGCCCGGCCGATATACCCACCTGGCTGCGGTCTTGATGGATGACCTTAGCGGCGTCCCCCTGCCGCTCAGCGACGGGGCTCCTTCAGCACGGGGAGAGGGTGTTTCAAGAGGCCTGGTCGGAATCGGCTGACAGAACTTTGTCAGCCGAGAATAAGCCCCGCCCACACCGCGCTGCTGACGGGCTTGTTCATAATCGGCTGACAGGAAACGTCAGCCAAAGATGGCGCTCGACAGTTAGGGTTGAGACTTGAGGAGAGGTAGCATTTTCGCGCTTTTTTCAACGACTATCTTCCGTTACATTATATTTCTGAGATTTATTTGCCGAGGCTATAGAAAAAAAAAAAACAGGATTGATAATTGAGGCGGTGCTGGCATTTCGATTTGTAGGTGCTGTTTTCAGGCTGATTCGCACATTGCGCCATGAAAAAGAAATAATTGCTATCTTTCGCGAAAAATATTTAATACAAAATAGGTACGTCAAAACATCGTACCTATATAAAAACTAACCACCTGCACTATATAGCTGCGCTTTGACTTACACATGCGCCACTTTCGAGCCACTTTGAATTTCGGCTGAAGTGCTGCTGCCCTCTCCCAGCAGCCGAAAAGCCGGCTGTCAGCAGAGGTGTGACGTCACAGCGCGGGAAGGTGTGATACGTCATCAATACCTCAACCAATCAGGGGCTTGGATCTCAGCTGACAACAGCACAGCAGCCGATTCCGACCAGGCCTAAGGAGTTGGGAAGGTGCTTTGGAGTGGGTTACGACCGGTCGACTGGGTGAGGGCCGGCGTGGATCGGGCAGGGATGGAACGGCCCTCTCGGAGGCGATATACGAGTTTATCGGAGCCCCTGCTCTCTCTCCATCGTCCGCTGTTTATCGTCACCGTAATTACAGAGAACAGAAGGCCGATACTAAATTCCGCAACTGCACTGAAAAAAAAAATTGAACACCGTTAACTGGGTAAGTGGTTATTCTGCATACCAAAGGGAGTTTTTATACACCCAATAATGGGTGTTCAGGGAGCGTTTGACACCTTTAACCCGCGCCCCGCTGGGCTATTCAGCCATACGCGCCCTGCTGGGTGGGGGGGGGGGGGGGGGCAGATTCTGCCCCCCTGTCTAACTTCCGAACCGATGGTCGTAGAAAGACGGGGAAAACGGCAATCGAAAGCTCTCAACAAGGCGGATCTTAAGAGCCCAATTTTTTGCTTAAGTAGGTCAGAGGTCAGGTCAAGGTCAGGTCAAGGGTACAAAATGCAAGTTTCTACAGTATCGGCCTTGCACCGTAGTTGCCGAAGAATGGACTGCGACTGATTGCCCAAAACGTGTTCTCAGACTACCAAGACATTATTCGTTGCATACAATGTCATTCAAAAGTCAAGTCATAACTCCCACATTTTCAACCGATTCTTCTAAAGATTGGTATGTAGGTGCACATAGACCACCTCTCTGACATGTATTCCGGTCTTTTCGATACACTCAAAATTTTGGATTTTATAATTATTTTTCCAAAAAAGTCAGTTTTTTGAAAAAAATGGGCCAAAATCCAAAAGTTTCAAAAAACCGAGATAGCCATTTGATAGACAAAGTAGAATCACGTATAACCTTTTTGTTACGTCTTGATTCCTTTAAAAATGAAGATGATAGCGGCGTTTGAAATTTTGCCGTTTTTTAAGCGAAAATGGCGAACATGACGTCACTAAAACGTCAATTTCTCAAAAACTTTTTGACGGATTTTGCTCAAATTTTCAGGGAACGTGTCAAATTGATGTATGATAAGGTACTGAAAGTTTGACGTCGCTGGCGTAACGCGTTTAGAAGTTATTGGCAAAAAACGGGAGGGGGGCAGATTCTGCCCCCCCCCCAGCGGGGCGCGGGTTAACCGTGTATGACAGGCTTCATGACACTGTAATAAGTGTCAAAGTACACATTTAAAAGTGTCTGACACTCATCATATACTGCAAAAACACCCCATCCCCTTTTTAAATTTTCTCAGTGTGCCCAACAATAGGCAGACGAGGAGGACATTAATTAGGCTTTATACAGTAATGAGCGCGCCCGGGGCGGCGGCGGCGGCGGCTGAGTCGGTAGTCACTCCATCAGCGGTGTGACATGGGCTGTGTGTGTGGGGTGCCGGCCGGCTGACTGTCCTGCTGGCCGCGCCCGGGGCGGCGGCGGCGGCGGCTGAGTCGGTAGTCACTCCATCAGCGGTGTGACATGGGCTGTGTGTGTGGGGTGCCGGCCGGCTGACTGTCCTGCTGGCCGCGCCCGGGGCGGCGGCGGCGGCGGCTGAGTCGGTAGTCACTCCATCAGCGGTGTGACATGGGCTGTGTGTGTGGGGCGCCGGCCGGCTGACTGTCCTACTGGCCGCGCCCGGGGCGGCGGCGGCGGCGGCTGAGTCGGTAGTCACTCCATCAGCGGTGTGACATGGGCTGTGTGTGTGGGGCGCCGGGCGGCCGGCGGACTGTCCTGCTGGCCGCGCCCGGGGCGGCGGCGGCGGCGGCTGAGTCGGTAGTCACTCCATCAGCGGTGTGACATGGGCTGTGTGTGTGGGGCGCCGGGCGGCCGGCGGACTGTCCTGCTGGCCGCGCCCGGGGCGGCGGCGGCGGCGGCGGCTGAGTCGGTAGTCACTCCATCAGCGGTGTGACATGGGCTGTGCGTGGGGGGCGCCGGCCGGCTGACTGTCCTACTGGCCGCGCCCGGGGCGGCGGCGGCGGCGGCTGAGTCGGTAGTCACTCCATCAGCGGTGTGACATGGGCTGTGCGTGGGGGGCGCCGGCCGGCTGACTGTCCTACTGGCCGCGCCCGGGGCGGCGGCGGCGGCGGCTGAGTCGGTAGTCACTCCATCAGCGGTGTGACATGGGCTGCGTGTGTGGGGCGCCGGCCGGCCGACTGACTGTCCTGCTGGCCGCGCCCGACGCCCCCGGCCGAGCGATCCCTGAGGGTCCCGCGCCCGGCTCTGTTCCCAGTCCGGCCCTCGGGGTGTAAGAGAGACCTGGACCGAACTACTGGCGCCCAACTTGAGTTGCGTGTGGTATACAGTGCTTAGAGCGTTTCCTTCCCGTGGTGTGGCCTATTTTTCCTCGCGGTGGCTTACATGCGTCTCGGTTCACAACATGTCATCAGTCATGAGATAATCGGAGTATTGAAATCTTATTCAGAAATCTGACAGCGCTGTCGCTGACTAATTGACCACGCCGGGTTTGACGGCACTGAATTGAGACGGTCTTCGTCAAACAACGTCGGGCTGTTGCCGGCTGACGGCCAGGGTTGACCATGGAGCTGGTGTTGATGGTTTTGATGGCAGTGATGGCTCCCGGTGTGACTGGTGCAGCGACTCTATCACTGGCCTGTATCGTGGGCCCGCGGCGGTGGGCAGTGGGTAATTGTCCCGCGCTCCCGCCCGTCTGGCGGCGCCGGGTGGCCCGATTCACCGGCCGGGGCGCCGGGCCGTGACGCTCCCCTGCCGCCGCGGTGACGGTCGTCACGGGCCGTGACGCCAGAGCTGACCGGCCTGCGTATTTACAAATTGCAACCGAGCTCCGCCGTAGGGTATTTTATTTCCGCCGTAGTGTATTTCACTTGGGGGATTTTCTACCATACATTTGCCTGAGCTCAGGGTAATTACAATTTGTCAGCGACGTTAAAAAATGATGCACCTTTTTTCGCAGTATAGGATATCGCATGTGCATATTTCTGCCTTTTTGGGTGCGCTTTATCGGTTTTTCGTGAGTAACTCGCGTAAAAACCGTCCGATCGCGACGAAACTTTCAATGCCCCCGATTTTATCAATTTTACACCTACCCTGACCCAAATGACCTTTGACCTGTGACCTATTTCTCGAGACCATGTTTGGCCCGAATCGCGATTCGGCGTATGTCGGCTCGCATTAGCCGCGCGGTTGCAGTCTTCACGTGGTTTCAAGCGTTGAAACATGTGATATGATGCAGCGATGCTGGTCCCATGCATTAGGGTGGGTGTCAAGGTCACCTGAAGGTCAGGTCAGCTCAATGACCTTTGATGACCTCGGTTCCTTTTTCGAGTTTTACATGTTTCTAGGCTAGTTTTTGGAGCTGATTTCGAATTTAGCAACCATTTGAACATAACAGGGGGTGTAACGAAATTATCCGAACACCTTTCTTCCCGCTGTAATTAAAAAGCAAAAAAAAATCTGGTACTTTTTCTTTTAACTGAGCTTGTAGCCACCTTTCATAAAAACAGTGATGAATGTTCTGGAGCATTTCAGCCAACATGGATTCTCCAGCACACTGGCTTTGATGCGGACCAACGCCGTCTAAACCTGTGCCTGCGGTTGAGCAGTGCTGATGGCGGGTGGCTCTTCATACACCTCCTGCTGAACAAGAGCCCACGCCCCACAGGTTTTCGATTGAATAGGGATCGCGACTTTTTCCAAGTCATAAGCGTTAGCCCAGAATGATTGAAGGTTCTATCGGCATCACTTCCCGTTCGTTTAGGAACTTTTAAGTAGCGCGCCGCCCCGCATGAAGACAGTGTGGCTTGAATCAGGCATCAGTGCGCGTTCAGAA